CTCTCTCTCTCTCTCTCTCTCTCTCTCTCTCTCTCTCTCTCTCTCTCGGTAGGAATATGGGGTGGGGAATTTTCCTGCAGACTTTTGGGGGGATTTCCCCAGGGTCTCTGGTCCACGGGATTTAAAATTATGATTTTGGTGGTCCCTAAGATCCAAAAGGTTGGCGCCCCCTGGACTAGATGACTTACAAGGTCCCTTCCAACTCTGTTAATGTGTAAAACACAGAGGGGGAAGGGGGAAAGGGAGAGAGAGAGAGAGCCTGCTGTGCACACCCCTGGGTAAGGGATTGCAAATAGTCCTTGTTGCTTTGGACAGCAAGATGGGCAGCATATAAATGTAATAAATACACACAAAAATTAATACATTCTCTTGGGACTTCCATGTGCTCCAAAACACCTTTCCAGCACTTTAGCCAACCACAGCTGCACAACTTGGTGGGAATGTCTATGGAGATTCCCAGTCATCCATGTCCTGGTTGTCCCAAAAGGGCTTTTTCAAGAGGCAACTGGACTTTCTTGGGTTTTTCTTTGAAGACGTTTTGCTCCGCTCTGGAGGTCTGCTTGCTCCTCTTTCAAGTAACCTAGTATATAAAGGAACCAAACAGCCTCTTCCTTTCTCATTTTTTCAAGGGCTGAAATAAGGTAGGAAGCGTTGTATGGAGAAGTGGTTTCCCTTCCCTTTTGCGCCTCTTGCGTTGTTTGCCACTTTTCTTCTAACCCCGTTTTCTCTTCTTTCAGGTTAGCTTGAACGATTCCCACAATCAAATGGTCGTGCACTGGGCCGGGGAGAAGAGCGATGTGATTGTAGCTTTGGCCCGGGACAGCTTAGCATTGCCAGGCCCCAAATTTAGTGATGTAAGTATTTTCTTTGGCTAATTATTGCTTATCAGATATCTACTTTGCATTTAGGTTGGAAAACATTCCCAGAAAAGACCCTTTGATCGTTTCTGAACATCAACAGAGTTTGCTGCTTTAGTCTCCTCCTCCTCCTCCTCCTCCTCCTCCCCCTCCCTCTTTCCCATCTCTTTCTCCTTCTCCTTCTCTCCCTCTTCCTCCTCCTCTTCCTTCCTATTTTTTTTCCTTCTCCCTCCTCCTCCTCTTCCTTCCTCCTTCCTCTTTTTTCTCCTCCTTCTCTGCTTTCCTCCTTCCTACTTTTTTCTCCTCCTCCTCTTCCCTCCTCCTTCTTCTTTTTTCTCCTCCTTCTCCTTCCTTCTCTGCTTTCCTCCTTCCTATTTCTTTCTCCTCTCCTCTGCCTTCTCCCTCCTCCTCTTCTTTCCTCCTTCCTATTTTTTCTCTTCCTCTTCCTCCTCCTCTTCCTTCCTCCTTCCTATTTTTTCTCTTCCTCCTCTTCTTCCTCTCCCTCCCCCCCTTTAAAAAAATTGGCTTTTGCGAAGTGTAAACCCATTTTTAAACCTTGGATTCTGGTGGTTCTTGAATTACAGCTCTTATCCCTCCTGAACACATAGGTGGGAATGATGGAGCAGCAAATTTTGGAAAAGCCAAATTTAAGAAAAAAATTAGGTTGGCTGGCTGAATAGATAGCATGCAATTTTTGGAGCAGGGAATGGCAATTAATGCGTATAGTTAACATATTAATATTTTTATCTATAAAACCAATTACCAATTTAATGATAAAATAATTAAACCTTCCAGCTAATTAAATTAATAATTAAAGCATTACAGCTAATAATCAGATCAAATTAATGCTTAGATAGCTCAACCTTAATTGAATTAAACCTTCAAATCGGTAGGATGATGGAATCCTACCGAGGGCCATAGGCAGATAGTTGTGTACAATTTTGTTACTTCTTCACAAGGGTCTTACCAGGAACAACAAGCAGAGTGTGAAAATGGATTTCCATACGTCCCCATCCAGGAAGCAATTTGAATTGTTTCCAGAATAGTAATTTGGAATTGCTTTTACACCTTCTTGTAAAGGCAAGGAGTTAAGTCACCAGTGCCCTGCATTTTGCAAACTTTATGTACAAAAACAAAAACAGCTCTTGTTCTATAAAATCAGAAGTTCAGTGAGTTTGTTTTCTTCCTGAAGGAAAAAGTGTTTCAGTGGCCTGTGAAAGACACAATCCTGTCATTTCTCACGCTTGCATCTTTCTTTGCTAGGTTTATGTTTCCTATGATTATGGGAAAACGTTTAAAAAGATATCCAAAAAATTTGGTTTTGGCCCAGGGAACTTCAGCCAAGCTGTCATCGCTCAGTTCTACCACAGTCCAGCAGACAACAAAAGGGTAAGTACGGTCAATAGTTTTGATTGTTGAATGGAGAATTTACAAAGGTAATTTTTGATTTATGATTGCACTTTGGGACCAGAATTCCCATTGTTAAAGCAGGGTGGTTGTTAAGTAGGTCATGTACGACCTTCTTTGTCACAATTACTACGTGAATCA